AAAGTGACTTACAGGAGTATTTTCTTTTTACCTTTGTAATGGCATAATTTTCATCTGTCAAATTCAAAAATGTATGTTTATAAGCTTTTTAAAATTTCTATTTAAAACAATATAAAAAGAAGTATAATTAGACAAATAAGTTACCAATCATATGAAATTAGTATTAATAAATTAATTTGTACTACAGAGGTGGCTCAGAAGAACACAAAAGTGGCTTGTACATTTCCAGACGTTTAATGAGGCTAAGAGGTGGCATGAGTGCAATTAAATTCGTAAATCCATGTGGAGATTAATGTTTTAAATATACAATTTTGAATACAGAAATATTGTGACTTAAATAACTGAAATTATACGCTAAAAATAAAACTAAATCCCCCAGCAGGTGGTGGCAAGTCACTGATTTTTATCACTGAATCATTCATTCAGTTGATTCATTCGAACGGCTGATTCATTCAAGAATGAATCAAGTGACAGTATTTATGAATGGGTAATCATGAATCACTGACTCACTAGATTCGTTTAAGAACACAAAAGTGGCTTGTACATTTCCAGACGTTTAATGAGGCTAAGAGGTGGCATGAGTGCAATTAAATTCGTAAATCCATGTGGAGATTAATGTTTTAAATATACAATTTTGAATACAGAAATATTGTGACTTAAATAACTGAAATTATACGCTAAAAATAAAACTAAATCCCCCAGCAGGTGGTGGCAAGTCACTGATTTTTATCACTGAATCATTCATTCAGTTGATTCGTTCGAACGGCTGAATCATTCAGGAATGATGCACGTGACTCTCTATATGAACTGACGGAAATCAGTCGTAGCGATGAAACACTTTAATCCCTGATTTCAAGATATTCGTCAGATTTTTGTACTTAAAAAGCTCTTGTGAGTAGAATTAATGTCTCATCTCACGCCTCATTGCTAATTCCAAAATATCATTTTAGAGTTTGCAATGGAGGTGATGCACTGATGGCAGACTAGTGCAGTAAATAGAGAGAGAGAGAGAGAGAGAGAGAGAGAGCAGGTTTAAACTTGTGTTTATTACCTGAATCTGTTCGTCCCTCAGGTGTTTGGTGGCAACATCTAAACGGATAGCGAAACTGTTCATGAACTTCATCTGCTTCAAGAACAGCGCTGTTATTACCTCGCTAGTGAGAAATGTCAGGTAGCTTTTAACTTGCAAAACTGACAACACGTTTTCTGTGCGAGCCAGTGTGTGTCTGTTTCACTGATCTCTAATAGAGAGCTGGATTGCTCATGACGTCATAAAAGTGAAGCCATATTGATATTGGTATTCCCTATAGTATTCTCATACAATCTCATAGAAAACCTCATCTAACAAGTCAGCGTTTTTATATCTGAAGTATCCCTGTACATTCTTACAACGCAAACGTCCTAAGCATGTAAACGGTTATTTTTTTAATGTCAGGAATTTCCCCTGCGTATTAAAAAGTTACATTCATCTACATTACAGTAGCGAACATCAGATGAACATGATAAAAATCGGACGGATGACTCGAACTCGGAACACTTCCGGTGGCTTCACCGCCTTGACGGCAACCAATCAGATTTGTGGCCACATCACCACCTTGGGTGTGCATTATTTTCTAATAATTCAATGGTCTGTCGTCAATTATTCCTTACTTAATACATTTATTTTAAGCTTAAGGGTTATCTAGGAGTCAAAGGGTCTTACGATCTTGCTGGTCAGCTCATATAAATTATGAATTATAACAAGGTTGGTTCATATATAGTATCAAATTATTTTTAAAGGTGGCATGTCTTGTTTACAAGCAGAGCAAGACGCACACTGTACATAAAACAGTCTTCGTTAATGTTGTAGCCGTAATCTTACTAGAAAGGCACAGGATAAGGAATCTTTTAACCTTTTGAATGGAAATAAATGCATAGATTAGTTCATTTGTATAAGTATGGTGTATTAACAGGATAGTTTATGCAATTAGTGTACATTGAAATCTGTGAAATGCTTATCATAAAATGTTGAATTTCTATAGACACCAGTAAAACATAGTTTCAAGTTGCCAGATTAGATTAAATATATCGCTATCCATATTAAAAAGTAATAATCTTTTTCAAGATATATGAATAATAAAACACTTAAACTAAAAGCATAAGTTAGGCTACACACATTATTGTAGAAATAAATAAATAAATAAAAAATGAAAAGAGCCTTGAGATAAATGTTTCAGATAAAGTTTTGAGTTGCAAATGATATCTTCACATTCATTTGAAACTGACATTTTATGACATGCTATTCGTCTGCATGCCTTATGACAGTAAACATTTTAGAGGGGTATTTTTGACATCTTGCTTAAACAGTAAGATGGCCTGATTTCACTTGAAAGTCAGCTACCATTGTTGACACCTGTGTGTTGTGATGATGATTGTTAATTGTGGCTATATTTTGTTTATAATTAGATGTTAGATAATATACTATACATTAAGGATAGATTATTGAATGCTTGTTTGCTTTGGTGTTGCCACCCCTCACAGTCTTCATGGCACCCCCTTGCCACCCTAAATATAATTTCATAGATCTGCCCCATCAACGCTACAAACACATCATAAATAGAAACTTTTGTGCAACCAGAAATACGCGCTTGAAAGGCTGCCAAATCTGTTTAGCAATATCCTGTTATTAGTTTCAACTGAGGGTGCATTTTTACTCTGTGAGAAAACGGACATGTGGCATGAGAGTGTGAGAACAGTGTCAATTGCGTGAGATTTGCCAGCCCTGTGGCTTAACAATGATCGGGTGTTTTTCTCCCAACTGTATGAATGAGTCGCTACTGGAGAGTGTAGCTTCACGCGAAAGCACATCTGACTCGTACCGTGGCTAAATGCCACTATGCAAATATATACAGGCTTTGGTGTTGCCACCCCTCACAGTCTTCATGGCACCCCCTTGCCACCCTAAATATAATTTCATAGATCTGCCCCATCAACGCTACAAACACATCATAAATAGAAACTTTTGTGCAACCAGAAATACGCACTTGAAAGGCTGCCAAATCTGTTTAGCAATATCCTGTTATTACAGCTTCAACTGAGGGTGCATTTTTACTCTGTGAGAAAACGGACATGTGGCATGAGAGTGTGAGAACAGTGTCAATTGCGTGAGATTTGCCAGCCCTGTGGCTTAACAATGATCGGGTGTTTTTCTCCCAACTGTATGAATGAGTCACTACTGGAGAGTGTAGCTTCATGCGAAAGCACATCTGACTCGTACCGTGGCTAAATGCCACTATGCAAATATATACAGACAAACACTTTAGACATTCCTTGATTGAAGGGACTATTATACAGATTTGCGCTGCATAAATCTTATTGCTTTCTCTACTAGCTTGTGTAAAATGTCTATTTTCACCTAAAACATGTTTTCATGCAAGCAAACCATGACTGTATAAGTGAACAACTGAACATGAACTTGTAGGAATTTAATAACATCCATAATGTTTTACTTTTCAAAGGTGGCGTGCATTGTCATTTACATTTGGCAGTAAGTGTGCAGCACTGGGCACAGAGCACATGAGAAAAGCTTTTTCTGCACCCAACGGCAGTAAACCACACATCTTGTTATTGTGAAGAAACAAGACAACATGCATCACAGCAGAAATGAAAGTTGTTCCTTTGGGAAAGTCTAACTTGTGAAAGTCTCCATTAATGACAGTTTATAACTTACATTTCACTGCTGGTCATATATTCTCTATATAACCATGTATGTGACAAATAAAAATCTTGAATCTTGAATAACCGTAACGTTGTATTCAGACAGACGGATGTTTTACTTTTCGAAGGTGGCGTGCATTGTCATTTGCATTTGGCAGTAAGTGTGTAGCACTGGGCACAGAGCACATGAGAAAAGCTTTTTCTGCACCTAACGGCAGTAAACCACACATCTTGTTATTGTGAAGAAACAAGACAACATGCATCACAGCAGAAATGAAAGTTGTTCCTTTGGGAAAGTCTAACTTGTGAAAGTCTCCATTAATGACAGTTTATAACTTACATTTCACTGCTGGTCATATATTCTCTATATAACCATGTATGTGACAAATAAAAATCTTGAATCTTGAATAACCGTAACGTTGTATTCAGACAGACGGATGCTGTACTTCCGCTTCTGAGCTGCTGAGAGATGTTTGTTGTGTTGGTTCATCCCATTTATCCAGTTGCTCCAAAGTTCTGTTCTTACAGTCTCTATAAATGACGGCAGTCATGATGGAAATGCAGAGGACTGACAGTAGAGCTAAAGCTGAAAGCTTCAATAACAAATAATAAAAGATTATTATGGTGATAAGACAGAATAACAGTATTAATATTCTTCAAACATGCCTTCTTTTCCACATAATTCTGCAATTATTAGATTTAATGTACAACCTACATTCAAACTGTTTCACAGATAATTTCAACTTTAGCTTTTATAAAATTGGCAATTTTAAAGAAATGTAACAATCAAAGACTTGCATTACATTGTCAGAATGCTGCTCATCGTGATCATTGCATACTGAACTGTTATTGGTCCTCTTTCTTGTTTCATTTGCATACTGAATTGTGTTCTTTTTTTCTTACATTTAGTGCCATTAGACTACATTGCACAAATTACATTAAACTACAAAAGTTATATTAACATTATTTTAATGTCTTGAAATTGCTGGTATTTCCTTCAGAAAAATCTTTCATCCTCATGCGAAATCACCCAATAGATTCCTACTGAAATGACTGCATTTAGCACGCAAAAAATCGCTGAACAATAGTAAATATGATTGCAGCTTTAGTGATTTTAAGTGGTTTTGTTAATGCTAAGTGGTAAAAATCTAAGTAAAGTATAACACTGAGTAATATTAATCAACGATATGTCATTAATGTAGAATTCAGCTGATGTGTGATCTCATCAGTGTCGTAAAATCATTTTTAAAGAAGGTCCTATTTAATAAACCGTGTAAACACGGTAGACTCACCCTCGAGTAGAAAGTGATTTTTTCGGTCAGTTCCAGCAGTTCTGTTCCGTTCACTCCAGTGTCATTCATTCCAGTGGGTTTGCACCATTTAATCTGGAGCTCTTCATCCAAGACGTAATCTCCTTCCCAGTGCGCCATGCCACACGCAACATATTCACCCTCAAACAGCAACAGAAACATCCACAATAAAGGCAGAATCAGACTCAATAAAATAAGCTCTGTGACATTCTGCGATTTACGTCTGCAAGGCCTTCTCATGAACATCATCACAGTCAGAGCCAGAAGAGCAGGTCCAAGAAAGATGAAGCTGATCAGTACTGCGTTAAGGCCTGGGGTACATGGGCACGAAAATCCCTGATCCATTAACAATTCCAGTCCGATTAATACAACGGTAAATGGCAACGTGCCAAATCCTGGAGTTTTTCTGAGCTGATTTTCCAGGTTGTTCGCAAATTGTTCTGGTAACGACATCTTCACCAATGTAATTCGGTCACTTTGATGAGGCTTTGCACACCTTCTGTTGTAAGGCAATGTCCTCCGTTTTTCCTGAAATGGAAATTATAGTGGATCAAACCTGTTAAACAAGGAAGAAAATGAAAATAATTCTACACGCAACATGAATAAGCCATTGTTCTTACATTATGTATGCAAATAAGTGTACATTTCAATAACAACTAAACGCATTGAAAATGACAAGAAAACACATTTTATTTCATAGTTCTTGGTCCAAAATCACATTAGGTGTATCTGTATGTATTTAAATAATAAATGTCCTACATGTCCCCTTATTCAACAGCAACCTGTACGATTGCACAGTGCAATATCAAGCTAGTTTATTTTGTAATTAAAAACACTTCAACCCAAAGTGAAGACGGACCAGTAAACTGTGTACATCGTTTTGTATAAAAGTTCTACATTTAATACATTTCCAGAAAATACAAGCAAACCGGACGTACAAATCAACTATAAAATTATAAAACTTTTTTCCTTGTCCTCTAGTTGTGTACATTTGCACAGAGAATGTGTTTTTTTTTTTCATCAAACATGGCATTACAAGAGTCCCGCGCGTGTCGTTTCACAACCAGTGAGTGAAAGTGAGGCTATGTGACATAAAATCCGTTTTCAGTCCTTTTCAGTGCTGAAAGACATTTTGCGATATGAAAATGAAATAACATGGTTTCAAGTTGTACAGTTGCAAAAACCATCGTGGGTTGGCTTCACTTTCGGTTTTGACTGCATATTTGAAGCGCCTGGAAACACCGGTCAACTTAAAGATAAACATATGCGAGAAACATCGATGAGAAATATCAAAAATAAAATCTGTGATGAGCAGATGCATTTATTAAATAAGTGTCTCTTTTTTTCTAATACTGCTAAATGTAAGAGGCAACTTGGGAATATCTAGGCATTGGCAATCGTTTCACCAACAGGAAAACATATACATAGTGTGTAGGTAAATAAACCTATATAAAATTCTCTTTAAATGTATATAAAGCCTTTTGAGATTGAGCAGCTTTGTCCGTTTCATTTTTTTTCATATTCGTGTAGTGCATTTACAAAGTCACAAAGCAAAGAAAAACACTGCATTTGTCATTTATAAAAGGACATTTTGGTTGCAACAGAAAGAAACTGTTCAAACGAAAACCAGCACATATATGTGGGACGCAAAGTGAGATGATTTAACCTGACTGGACATAACAAGTTGATTTTTTTCATATATTTTATACAGCTCTTTATAAAAAACAAAAACGAAGCAGGTTGTGGAAAAGCTAGGTTACGCCGCCGTTTCTCGAATCGTCGTTTCCAGCCTCTTTGGGAGTAAATGGCGTCTCGTGTCGAGGTTGATGACTGGCTTTCGACAGTGCTGTCCGTCATGGTACGTCATCTTTGAGTAGATGGGGTTTGAATAGTCCATGGCCTGGAAACATACAATGATGTTATAGTTTGGTTTATACTTTCTTAATGAACGTAAAATGCTTCATTTGAATGAGTTCTGGAATCCACCTGTCCTGGAATGAGCTCCTTTGGAACATTCTGGATGGGTAAAGTGTGTGCAGTCAGTGGGCGCGCGGGGGGCAAATTGCGCGGGTCGCTTGACTTCACACACCAGCCCTGAAAAACAACAGCATTTAACTGGAATGCACTAAAACCGTTGAAAACATTGTATATATAAACAAGCTTGCAGATTAAAATCTCAAATTAGACTAAATAATTTGGGCAAATTCTGGTTGGAGCCCAAATTACATATAAAGCAAGAGTTTAAAACTAAAATTGCTACTCTGGAATACTCTTCTAGTTCTGCGAACTCAATTGATTTGAGGCAAAGAAATCGGTCCCATAAAGACTAAATATGACCCAGAACCACAAAACCAGTCATAAGGGTAAATTTTTCGAAATTGAGATGTATGCATCAGCTGAAAGCTGAATGAATAAGCTTTCCATTGATGTATTCCATTGACAATATTTGGATGAGATACAACTATTTGAAAATCTGAGGGTGCAAAAAAATCTAAATATTGAGAAAATCGCCTTTAAAGTTGTCCAAATGAAGTTCTTAGCAATGCATATTACTAATCAAAAATTAAGTTTTGATATATTTACAGTAGGAAATTCACAAAATTTCTTTATGGAACATGATCTTTACTTCATGTCCTAATGATTTTTGGCATAAAAGAAAAATCTATAATTTTGACCCATACAATGTATTTTTGGCTACTGCTACAAATATACCCCAGCGACTTAAGACTGGTTTTGTGGTCCAGGGTCACAAATGTCCTTGTGGGACTTTGGCTAAATAAAAGAGAACAAAGGAAATATTCAGTTTTACTAAACCAAGCAAAACAAACCAGTTTAGAATTTAGACACATAAAACTTTTCACATCTTATGGAACTTTTTAGTACAATTTTGGATACTGAATCTGACATATTGTACAGTCATGATTTGTTATGCTTTATTATTTGAATTGTTTGAATGTGGAAAAATTAATTCATGTATCCAGAGCTATTATTGTTACTAAACTAAATTAATTTTACATTTTCGGATAAAACTGAAGTAGTAAAATAACAAACTAAAAACGTTAGCAATTTTTCACAACTTTTCTGTTGCTTAGTCACATTGGACTAGTTGTCTGCAGGTCATTTGTTTTTAATAGACCTTGTTCATGAAACACCAGCAGAATGAATTTATAAAAGAAAAATTCCAGAAAGTTGTTCAGAACTTACAATTCCTACTCATTTAGTACCTTATGAGGGTCAAGGGTGAAGCTGGGGTGAAGAAAGCTTCCCACGTCTACGTGATTGTCGTTATCAACTTCGTACATGTTATAGGACGGATTCCCGATCTCCACGTTCAAGCCACCATTGGCCATAGGCTGCCGCTGAACCGGTTTACCTCTGTGAAGGGGTAATGTATATTATCTTTGTTTAGTTTTCACAGGGACATTTAGCACACAAGCTAAATGCTGAAGCACAGGTGGTTTACAAGATTTTCTACAGCAATATCAATAAATCAGATGTGTAATGTTCTGATTAGACATCTAATACAGCTAATTACAGATTTGTTTATATATTTACCTTCGACATCTTTTGCAAATAAGGAGTCCCACTGCAACAGCGGCGATAATGCATACAAGAAGAACTAGAGGCACTATTATGGCAATACTTCCTGAAAAATAAATAAATAAATAAATAAAACAAATACAAATAAGAACAGAAAAAAAATAAATAAGCTATATGTACTTTACAGTGTTTCAATTACACTGTATTTACATAAAGTAATATGAATGCTTTATGGAAGGGTGTGGGGTGTCTTTTGAACAGAATGAAGATGTGTACATTTTTAAATTGAGTACTGCCCTTCAAAAGCTACAGAATATACCGACATTTTTCCAGAAGACAAAATAAGTACAATTTACCAGGATCTTTAAATTAAAAAAGTTTTCACACCCTTGACGCTAACTGCTAACCTCTCTTAGCTAACACGGCTAAAATGTCAATGCTTCTCTGCAAAAATGAAACGAATGAACTGCCTGGAACTGCTTGACTGACGACTAGGGGAAAACGTTTGTCTCTACCAACTCGGACAGAAGGGAAGAGTAGAGTAGTTGCATTTTCTCTCCTGACTAACTGACGTAAAATTACAGAATTACAACACTTTCGAGATACCTTGTTTTGGTTAAATTCGAACACAGAATTACAATTATCCTGCTTAAATAAGGCAATCCCAGAATGCATTACAATGACCATACAAAATGGTGAACTAGGGAAGTGTTAAAATAAAATAATTCAATATGAGAACGATCTAATTCAAAACAGAAATTTTTACCCATCATTTATGTGCATTACAATACTTTTTTGGTACTTTTATGCCATTAGAAACATGTGCTAACACCAAACTCCATTGAAATCAATTGTGATTGTGAAGTTTTTGGGAAACGTGTGTGTGTGTGTGTGTTTGTGACACTCACTCCCGCTGACATTTTCTGAACGGTTGGTCTTGGTTGCAGGTCTTTCGCACTGTGTTCCTGACCAGTTTGCAGAACACCTGTGAACAGAGAAGCAGAAACAAATATCACAGCTGGTGACATTTACAATGCATTAACTTCTTCAAATCAACATATGATTAGATTTATATAAAATAATAACAGTTTTAATTTACCATATTTACCTCAATAATTTGGTTTTTCACTCTGGTTTTCCTTTATTCATTATTATGGTATCATTTGTTTTTATTGATTTTTTGTTTTGACAAGCATGAAAACAAATGTTAATAATAAATGCAGGATAAATCACAGGAGGAGGTATAAAACCCAGCCCAAGGGATGCATTACTCTTACTTGAGACACATGCAAAGTGTGTGTTTGTGTGACAAGGGGCTTCCTGGATCCAAACGGCATGCGTCCACAGCAGAATTCCACTGACGTGAGAGATTATGCACTTATGAGAGATGGTGGCGTGAATGAAACTGGTCGAAAACAATATTTAATCAAACTTCCTGTGGACAGGGATTACGTTTCCTGCGGGAGGGATGCACATGGATGCACTGCTGTCTGAAGAAGGTGACAGAAGATCCAGAAGAAACACACCGAGGTGGAAATATATCCCGCTAGATAAAATTCTGCTAGATAAAACTAATACTTGAAAATGTCTGAGGAACTTTCCACGGATATGGTACGAAACAGGATTTAATTTTTTACCTTTTGTTTTGTTACATTTATTTAGATACCTTACAAGGATCAGGAAACAGTATATATATATATATATATATATATATATACACACCAGGGCTCTACGCTTACTTTTCTTTTTAGGAGCACGTTCAAAATTTTAGGAGCACCTTCTAATCAATAATCCAAAATTTTATCAAAAATTAGCCTTCGCATTACGAGGTGATTGATATTTGACTCCTTAAAGTGATTAACAGTGGAATTTTGTTTTTACCTTTGTAATGGCATTTTTCTAACTTTATTAAA